GTAAAGAGGGTTTAAAGGATTTCCAAAGAACCGGAGAACAACTTGTATGTGTAACTGCGTGTGTATGCCCACATGTGTAGAAATATAACTAGGTAGCTTAGGCTATTTAGGAAACTACGACCTTTAAAATTAATCCAGCTCAGGGTTCAATGTTACTGATTTTATTTATAAGCTTTTTTATATTCCTGGTTTATAGACTTTCCACAGTAGTCAGAACAACTCCTTCTACTACTAGACAAGTCATGGAAGGATTCAAGGAATGGAAAGAGAGCTGAAAAATTTTGAAAAGGCCTTTACAGGGTTTGTACCAAATTCCAGATATCCAGAGCAGTAGTGTGGTGTCTTAACTAAACAAAAGAAAACCCCAGACTCTTCTCTTTTTTGGCCTAAAAGTTTCAATATAGAATATATTGAGTATTCATTGTCTTTTTGGGAATGAAATTCTGTTCATTTTTAGGATGTTATCTTCCAGAATTAATGGAACTTATATCTAGGTGTTGTTCAGAGATGGTTTGTATATAGATAAACTGAGAAGAGAAAAAAGCTTTCAGTTGTGCTTGCTGGTTTACATAAGAAGTGAACTACTACTTATTAGTACTTCAAGGATCTAGTGGTTGTGTTCCACTGACTTCTCAAATTGAAAATACATCATGTTCCTTGACTAAATGTAGGTAGTTGTGACAGCTTTTACAGTCAAAGGTACTCCAGGAGGTAGCAAGCCTCTAATGCTCTTCCAAAAAGATACGTTCCTGTACTGGTGATGTCAAAGGGTTAGGACTATGTAACACAGGCTAACTTTTTTTAAAAAAAGCATGGCACCAAAATGCAAAGAACCTTTTAAAAGAAACGGTTCTATTTCTGGTTTTCCTGCCATAATGTATAATTTCATTACACTGTGTGTTATTCAGATTTGATATTACCATGTATTACTATAGACTAAAACCGTTTTCATTGAACCTTTTTTCAGAACTCAGCAGTTGAGCCCTTTTTCTGGTACTTTTAATTCAGTTATTCATAAAATCCTGCTTACTGTAGTAGTAAAAGTCATGAATTCTGCATGACATGCAGCCAGGCTGGGTTTTTTTGGCAGAAGCTCACCTGTTAATACTCACACCTGCGAAGTTTATGCCCCACATCTAAATTGTTTCTCACATTGAGACTGGATTTCTCATCTCATATGCAACATTGGCACCACAGCCATTCACGCCGCCTGTCTTTTTCACTCTTAAGACAGCATCTCCTCTTTCTATCTTCAGAGTATTTTCACTGAGACCATTAATTTTTGTATTTTGGAGGGGGGAAGGGAAGAAATTGAATAACTTTTTCAATCAGCCATCCTAAAAATAGCTCTTCCTGAGGTACAGTCTCAGATTTTCCAGTCAGAGGTAACAGAGATCTTGTTGAAAGAACTGCACATGCAAGAACCAGGGAGTGCGAACAAGAGGTGGAGATTTAGCTCAAAAATTAGAGAAACAAAAAATCCACTGGCTTGGTACTGCTCCAATAAGGAAAAAAAATATTCTTCCACAAGGTTTCTCTGTGTTAATTGGTTAAAAAAATATTTTTCTCTCCACATGGAGAGGACTATGGAGTCTTCCTTCAGCTCTGGTCACTGTCTTGATTTCAGGAAGGTACTTCCTCCCTTCCCAGCTCCCTGTCATTCTTGGACAAGAGCCCTAGATAGTGTTAACTTCCTGTGCATGTAGCCAGGTGAGAAGGATGGTCTAAGTCCTGCAGCTTTGCAGAAGTGGCTAACTATTTCCTTCCTATGTCTTTCACTTGCCAGCACTACAAACACGACCTACTCATTACCTCAATGGGTTTTGTACAATACGACCAACTAGTTTGGAATTTGGTTTTCTTTGGTAGAAGATCAGGTGTTGTGTTCTTGTAATTAAGAATACTGCCTTTAAAGTAGCAAACAAACTCTGTGCCAAACAGAGTGAAAATGAAGGTGAAATTTTCAGTTTTCGAGTGCCTGCTGCTTTTAATAGTCAGGGTTTTGTAGATGTATTTTTCTTGTGGGGTTTGGTTTTTTTTTTCTTGTGTATAGAAGCTGCTGGGGTACCTCAGTTATCAAAAAAAAAGAAAAAAAAAAAGAAAAAAAAGAAATGGTATGAAACCTAGATTTAAGACCTACTCTCTAAGAGAGTGACTGATTGAAACAGATATTTTGAAAATGCTATGTAACTAGTTCCTAGCACAGGGATTCTTAAATTTAACTTGCTTATGTATCACTAGTGGCCGTTGCTACCAGCTTTGTGCCATCCCATTTGTGTGTACGGCATTTGCAAATTGTGATAACCATGCTGGTGATATCTTTATCAACGTTTCGATGCCTCTGAAATCTAGAATTAGTCTTGGAATTTATTTTTGAAACCTCTACAGTAGTGATGAAAAAGGGTAGTGTAGTATTTCCTTGAGATCAAAGGTGTGCATCAAAGGATGGTAAAATAAGGGGGTTAACTTGCATGAGCATCCAGTGACTCTGGCATCGGGAAGGTGTCACTTTCCAGAAAAAGTAGGCTCTTCCTGCAGAGTCCTGATTTCATCCAATTTTCTTGCCTGTCTTTCTGACATGATGTTTCAGACTGTGTGTATATACAGAAGACAGTATTGGTGTTTAAAAGACTTAACGGGTTACGAAAGACCTGTACTGCATGAAAGACCTCAACAAGACATGCAGACGGTTCTGGTTCTGATTTACACACATGGTTTCATTTCATTGGATTAAATCAGATGGTAAGCAATTCACCACATTATATATACAGTCTTCAATACAGTAAATTAATGCAAGATTTCAGAGATTTCCTGGGGAATTGTTTGGTCTTGATTTATAACATCATTTGCAATTCTGGAATCTCTGCAGTGGTAACTATGAAGTCTTAAGTGAAAGCATTATTTCTTAGAAGTGTTTTGATTTGGCAAAAACGACACTTTCTTTTGTACATACTTGAGCAGATATCTAAAATGTGGGGAATAGTTGTCATCGTTTTGTAACTATTTTAATGTAAAATTTAATATTTGCGTCATCTGAAATGCTTAATAAAAAGACAAAATTTTCACTTCCTCTGATTCTGCTTCATAGTGTAAAAATAACCAACAAAGGCTGCAGGATGCTTATATGTATGGACTAGTTAGGAAGTTTGAGGATGTGTTACCTGTAAGATAAATTGTCTTTTATACAGTGACACTCCAAATGATGTGCCACTGGGAAAGGGTGTGTTTTATTCTTATCTTCACTTTATGAAGGACAATTTTCACATTCTTAGTGGCCTCATGGCAAAACTGAATTTTCCTTTCAGTACTTGAATGTCCTTTGTAGATTCATATCTAAAGGGAGTTCTTCATATGTGGACCTTCCCACAGTGGGGAGTTACCTTTTTAATATAGTCCCTGTGCACACCAGATTGTTTTGGCACTCTTCCCTTTTCTTTGAGTTTTCAGTGTGGAGAATGTAGCAAGGGAGTGAGGAAAATATTCATCACATAAAAGCCTCCTAAGAAATAATACCTGCTAACCGAACGACTCAAGCAATCATTCATCTCAAGAGAATTTCTAGAGTGAGAGGTCCAAGGAAATTATAGGTCTGTGTAAAAGTGCAAGGAATGGTCTGTGGGATCCCAAGGCTTTCTTACAAGGAATGTGAAGACCTTCACAATGTTATCACAAGATAATTTGTTATACGCTCTTTCTGATGCTTCTCCTATGCTGTTTGGCATGAGACAGTCTGGGTTCAACAGTCTGACTTTTTTGGTTTGATTTTTGTTTTGCAATATGAAAGCTGATTTAAATTAATACTGTATCCAGATTTTTACCAAGAAGTTAAGACAAAGTCTTGTACCTATGACTACTTTGGTACCAAACTGTGCAAAACCTGTGATATCATATGCTTCCAACTAGAAAACATAATTCATCTCAAGCTAGTTAGAATGTTGACCCACATTTTCCCACTATTTCTTAGAATACCTCCCATATTAAACCTGGGCAACAGTTCATACACACTGAAAGCCACTTGAAAAGCTAATGTACAGAGGTCACTTAAAGGCAACATTAGATTACTAAAATGAACCCTAAAAATATTCATATGACTAAAGATTGTCATAGTTGTGGAATGAATTGGTTACTTAAAATGACTGGTTTGTATAACTGGTTGTGATACAGTCTTTACTCTCATGCTGTTCTTCCCGCTTGTATTTCTTCCATTCCAGTTTGCTCTGCTGTGCTTTAAATCTCTAACAGTAGAGTCAGCCTGCCTCCTCCTGTTGCTTCTCATTGCCTCAGCTCCTCATTTTCTTTCCAGTTTGTGCTGGGACAGCACATGGTGCTCTCAGTCCTGGTGCCAAGTGCCCTAGCAGCCCCTCGTTACATACAGAAGCTCATTCATCAGCTTGGTGACATCTCACTTTATATGTATTTACATACAAAAGTGTTTCAGTGTTCAGATGAGACCACTGCTTTTAGTTAGCAGAAATATTTGAGTGGACTAAAAATATCTGAAAAGAAGTAAAAATGCAACATTTGATTGCGTTTGAAGAGCTTGGCCAAAATTCTTGCTTACAGTTGGAGTATTAGAAGGCCAGAAGGCAATCAGATCTGATGAGCAATATTTCTGTAGTCGCAGAAGCCCAGAGCTGTCATGCTTGGCTGCTGTACCTTCCTTCTTCCTTCAGCTCAAGAGCAGGATGTGTATTTTGGTATTGCATTGTCGCTGTTGTGTGCTTCTTAGAGATGGCGCTCAGTATGTGTCATTTAGAGGAAATCCCAGGTTGTTTTCACATGCTTTGTGACTTGAAGTGGTGCACTCCCTGAATGTAAAAGCAAAGCCTCCATTAGATGGCAAAAAAAATACTGTTTGCAGTATGCAGACACCAGCAATATTATTCAATCCGAATTGAATAACAACTTCATTTCAGAAAAGCTCTCTTTCCTTCTTTTTAATACATTCAATATGTTGAAGTGCTCTGCTAATTATCCTATGTCCTTTCCTTTTTGGATAGATATTGACGAATGCAGCATCATCTCAGGAATTTGCGAAGGTGGTGAATGCTCTAACACTGTGGGAGGTTATTTCTGCATCTGCCCACAGGGTTATGTCTCATCTGCAGATGGCTCCCACTGTATTGGTAGGTATTCCGCCCTGTAGGCTTTCAGAGCTCTCCAGGTTATTAAGGCAATTTATATACAGCAGCAGAGCTTCTGTCCCAACCATCTAGCACTCCTCCCGCCCCGCCCCATGAGCTTACTGTGTGCTAACTCACTAGTATCTGTGATCCAGTAACTTAAAATGCATACATCCTCCTACTTAAAATTTGTTAACATCCTCTGTGATGATGATTTCTACTGCAACCATCTTTATGTAGATACTAGATCCCTCTGTGTTGACTGTGCTGTAGACTGAGAACTCCTGCCTGAGATCTGGATCTTCTTAGGAAAAAAGCAATTAATATCTCTGTGTTGTCTAGGCAAACATAGGAAATGTGAGTTGTATTTGTTTCTCTAACCTGCATCTGATGAAACCAAAAGCTAAGCTTACTTTGGTTCTAAGGGAGCAAACATTTATCCTTACTTGGTGTTTCAAGTTCCGTCTCATGTAAGTTAATTTAACCTTTAGAGACCATATATAGGCACATATATAGACTCAGAAGGCATTAAGTAGCGTATGCTGAGGTGCCGCTAATTTGACTGGAACAGATAACAGAACTAAACAAATACTCAGTTTCCGTAGTTTGCATCTTTTACCGGACAATTTATTTAAAACCTGTTTCTATATTATACCAAAGATGTATGCTTATTTTCAGATGTAGTCATTTCTTTTATACATCTGCATGTGTCAAATAAATGGTATGAACCATTCTAATTAACTAAAAATACTGCATACCATGTGTAAAAAACATTAACAATTGCTAATGATAGCGTCTTTTCTAAATCTCATGTGCTGCTTCTTATTACAGACATCTCAAATCACTTTGTTCTCATGTTGGGAATGGATGGGAATTCTGAAGGGATTTCTGAATTATAGATAAATGATGTAAGCTGGTAGCAACGGAAGACCTACAAGTGATTTCACGTGGATAATTGTTTGTACAATGTATCCAGCTTTTGTTATCCAGGTTTGCCTGAGTGCCGAGCTTCAAATACATTCTGGCTGGCCTCAGGAATGCTGAGAATCTATGACTTCCAATATGATGAACATTTCTATGGATTTTGCAATATTTTACAATCTGATTTCTGAAGTCAGCTCCCAAAACCAATTGCACACAAATCACATGCCGTAGTCTGCCAAGGCAGGCCCTTACGTCACAGCGTCTCCTTCCCTTAACTGAAAATGTGTCTGAAAGTTCTTGTGCTCTCAAATGTTTATAGTATTGGCGTATGATTTGTATACTCCAGAAATATAATTTCTTCTTTACGTACGAGAAAAGTGAAAAATGCAGTCCTTATTAAAAGAAACTATTTTATTCTTTGCATTTTGAGACAAATACCTGCTTTTAACCAAAATATGAGAATGTGCTCAGCTATTGTGATTAGTATGATGCCTTTGCAAATTCATTGAGCTTTTATCCTAGTCAGCATTCAGGAGTGTGACAATAAAAGATCTAGGATGCATCCTTGAATGAACTAGAATATAATAAATGACATTTATATAGAGTAGTTTTCACATGGCACTACTAAAAATATTGTTGTACAGTCTGTCTGCTGAGCAGAGCAAACTGCATAATATTTCGTCAGATACATCTACACCAAGGAAAAATTCATTAAATTAATTTACTGATGTTGCTGCTGTTACATGAAATTTCTTGATTTTTGCCATAGTAGGCTTTTTATCTATTTGTATGTAGTTTCTATTTGTATTGCTTGGTATCTTCTGCGTCATCTATATTTCCTGTTAGCTTAAGCAGACTTTAAGATTGCATGTTGGATTAGTGCAAAACTATTGTCACTGCAAGTACATGATACTGCAGTAAACCAAATCTGGAATGCATTGGTGCTGATCACCTCAGTTAATTACTAGGTGTGTTTTGCGATATTTGGGGGTTTGTTATATTGTTGGGTTGATACAAAACATTTTAGTCATGTGAATTGAATAGAGGAAAGTAATTTTGAGAGTTCGTGTTACTTTTTTTTTTTTTTTTTAATTTAATTTCCAGCTCAGAGGGCAAGTACATGTTTCTCCAACATAATGAATGGCCGCTGTACCCAGGAGCTTGCTGGTAGGTTCACCAAAAGGCAATGCTGCTGTGAGTCTGGCCAGTGCTGGGCCATCAGGTCAGTTCCAGAGATGTGTCCTGTCAGAGGATCTGGTGAGTGGCTTGTGACTGATTGATTTGTTTTCTCCTTGCTATCCATTCTAGTTGGGATGGAGGTCACTGGAATATTTTAAACTGCTTTAAAATGTAGGCTAAATGGAAAAAGAAAGTCAGGAATTATATTATTATTCATTCCTGTGTTTTTGATACTGATGTTACCATCTGTGAACCATTTTTTTCTGGTCCATGATTGTTTCGGACTAGTTTCTTTAACGTCCTTTTGTTGACTTTGGAAATAGTTCTTGGGAAATGGGAAAGATTTTGTGGTCAAGCTCAAAGGGGAAATTACTCTGAGGGTCCATAGTTCATTTTGATTTAAAGGAACAGCTGCTCTCTTCTTCCATTAAATTTTGAGTTAGTTTGAACTAGAAATGCATCAGTATTTCATTTATTCTTTCAATTCTGCTCACACAACAATAGTCCACATCCCTAGTGAAATGTATTTTCAGTTTATCTGTATCAAGATCTCTGAGTGACCAGGGAGTTACAATGCTGCTGGCAACACATCAACAAAAAGGTTTCAACAAATAGCTGTAAATTACAATATTTCCTTTTATTACTTTTAGTGTCCTTCCTTAAATAACACCTGTCACAATCATGGGATCCGCCTGAGATTAGGAGTTGGAGAGGGAACACATAACATCAAAGAAACAAGGAGTTGATGTTCTGGTTTTTGTAGCATACCAAGATCTGTATCTTCCTTATAAGCTGACTCTGAAGGGTTGATTTATTTTACGCTTCTCTGTGCATTCCTGTTTAATAGATGAACACCGCAGACTTTGTGTGGATGGTGCTTCTACTGGAGGTGGTTCCAGAGGTGGTGGGACAGGAGGGAATGAGTTCCTTCCTGGTGGCAATGGCAATGGCTACAGCCCAGGAGGAGCAGGATTCATTCCCATCCCTGGAAGCAATGGTTTCTCCCCAGGTGTAGGTGGAGCAGGGGTAGGGACAGGTGGTCAAAGTCCCACTGGAAATGGCCCAGTAATTACAGGGCTAAGTAAGTACTTGCATGGTTCTGTCTTGTTTCTCTCGGTTTTTTAATTCCTTCTATTTTTTCCTATTTTTTCTGCTTACTTTTAATCTGGAATTGATACGCTGTTTATGTTTAACACATAAAAATTCCTTTGTATCCAAGCACATTTAAGAGGCCCCAGTTGATACATTATGGAGTTCAGGAGCCCTTTTTTTAGCAAGAACTCAGATGTAGAGAATTTTTCTTCACTTCAATTATAGGATGCTTGAGCCTGTGCTGCCCCTGCTGATCTGTCTTGGTCAGCACTAATGAAACTCCAAATTTCTAAGTGTTTTCAAAAAACCACCAGGGTTTAAAAGAAATTGTTCTCTTTCGTTGTTCTTCCAAATGTAAAACTTGCCTATTCTGCAGGAACACTGCCTTGACTGAAAGCCCAAGGGGAGTAATATTCAGAGGGAATTCTCATATCTGTAAAGTTGCTTATAACATGTGTAAACACATGCCTAGGATCAGAACCATAAAGTGCAAGGAATTTTATTAAGTACACCAAAAATGATAAACATACAGAAACAGACTGCTTCAACTTTCACCCCAACTGTGGTTTATTCATGAGGCCACTGACAATCTCATCAGGCTATACACGTAAATGGTAAATCATAATTAAGACTGTGTGTCTAATGTGGTTTTTGTTTCGGAGAGCTACTGGTTCTTGTTAAGTTTACTGTCATGTCAACAGATATTACTTGGAAAAAATAATTGATTTGGTGGATATGTTTATGCATCTGATAACATACTTTCTGAAGCTGAGTATAATCTTACTATTTAGTTCTATTTGAAAATATGAATATTTGTCTCATGTTCTGTTTTTGTTAGCAATACTCAATCAGACAATAGACATCTGTAAACACCATCCCAACCTTTGTTTAAATGGACGTTGTATACCAACCCTGTCTAGTTACCGATGTGAATGCAACATGGGATATAAACCGGATGCAAATGGGGATTGTATTGGTAAGTGCACATTTCTAAAATCCATTATTCACTTCTAAAATGCTAATATTTTTCTGCTTTAATTCTGTTTCTTTTTTAAAAAATGCATCTTCTTTTTCTCCCACATGCATATTAATTTTAATTATATTGATTTTGTGAGAGTGGAGAGAACATGATATTGCTAAAATAATTTAAAACCTTCATGAGAGTTATGTTTCCTTAAAAAAAAAAAAAAAAGATATCTTTAATCGCAGATATTGGTATTGAGTATTCCTGTACTTAATGGATTTTGTACATTTTTGTCTTCACATTCGGTAAAGTAAGTTCTGTTCTATGTTCTCTTGTTATGCTCGCATAGCTCTGTTTTTGCTGCAGGAGTTAATGTTGAGTTATGTTCAAGATAAGGAAGGGTAGATTTTTTGTTTTACCTACTTGTAAGGATGAATGACAGTTTGAAAGACACCAAGTCATTAAAAAAATGCATTAATTAACTTTTGGCTACATTTGCGTATCATATGAAAACACTGAATGCTAACATTTTCCAACAAGAGCTGAATTTGGGAGTATGCACTTCTATTCAGTTACTGTGGTCTTCACTCTTGCAGTGTCAAAGGCTCATCAGGTATTTCAGGGAAGGTACAAAATTTGGGGTTCTTGTGGGATGGTTGTGTGGAGAATAATCCTTTATGCAGGATACAGCTTAATAAACATAGGATCCTAAATAGAAAGGTCTGATTGTATTTCTGATTTGACATTTGCTTGCTGATTCTTTATAAAGGGATTCGAGATCTATGGGTAAAAAATATTACACAAGAGCTTGTTAGTGATAGGCTTTTCTCACCAAAACTGCACTTTTAGAATCAATTTCTAGCATGCCTGTGGATTAGAGGAAAATATGGAAATAAAGTAACACAGAAAATTGCAGCTACACAAATGCTTAAAAAAGATTTCTAATCCAGGACTACGCAGTTTACAGTATGCAAGTGAGAACAGTACAGAGAGATTTTGGCATACATGCAGTACAGTGTGTATCAACCAGCAGCTGAGCTGGGAACACTGCATCTCTGAATTGCAAATTCTTCCACCTCCCGCTGAAATGCAAACTGACTTTTAGGACCTGCCTGCCTTGACACCCTGCCTTCTGGAAGAGTGAAATATGACGACTGTTCAATAGTGCTTTTCCTTTGATGTCCCTGTTTCCTACTATGTTTAATGTCTCTGTTTTCCTTTCTCAAATCAACATTATCTACCGCATGTGAAAGATTACGGGTCCCCTTAGCTAGATTATTCGCTTGTACCAGAGAGGTCAGTTATAGCTACATCATTCCTGACGACAGTTTGTACACTCTGTTAAGAAATCTCCATTGATGGAGATTCCACCAGTTCCCCAGGCAGTTGCATTGCTCCAAAAGTCAAATTTCCAGAAAGTTTTGAGAATGTCTAGTCTAATTTAAACACTTACTTTGCAAAAAAAAAATCAGCTCATTGTTTCTTGTGTTATCCATATAAGGAAAGCAGGTCAGTATCTTTCTCTTTGCACTTCTCTGTACTTAAAGACTGTTGCGGTTCTTCCAAGTTGTCCTCTATGATACAGCAAGCCCAACTTTTTCAGTTTTTTTTTTTGTTTGCGTGAGAGTTTTTTGTACCTCTGATCTCTGGCTGGGAAATTCAAGAGGCTTGGTCTCTTGCTGCATCCTTGGGCCTTAGGAGCTATAAGTGCATTGTAAGTGGGGAGTGGGAGTTTTATTATAAATCTGTCTTGCATGGCTGTTCTTTCTTTATACTGTAAAGAGTGAGAGCCCTGGAACTTCTATTCCCAGCACTAAATTTCACATTGCTGAAATCAGTAGTGTTTAACTATGGTGGACCTTGAGTCTTGAAATGTGCTCAGCATGTTCTGAAAGCTGTTTCTTGATGAAATCTAGTTCACAGCTTATATTCATATTCTTTGTTAGTTGGGGGGCAAGTTGAAAATATCATCGGGGGCACACGGATGTTTGTTATCTATTTGATAACACACATTATATTTATTACATTTTTATTATTTTTGCTTTCTGAGTTCAAATGAAGAAATAAAGATGAGTAATGATAAAAATCTAAATATATGATTGTACAAAGCTAGCAATGGAAAAAATGAAAGGCCTTTCTAAACTAGTACTTTTTGGGGCAACCATCCTGTGTTTGAATAATTAAAAAGCGGTGATAAATAATGTTGTGGTAGAGCATGATTATGATAAATGCTTGCTCGTGCTTATGAAGAATTATTCTGCATGAAAAAATACATTGAAAGAGCACATAGCTGTAAAGAATGAGCCTGCATACCATGGAAAGACACAGTGTCATCTGTCCCTAAATCATTTCATAATAAGGTAAGAAAAATTCGACTGAGCTACTTTGTGCTTCTTATAAGCAGATAGCATAAAGATGGCATGTGATTAAGAATTAGTTCACTGTGGCATATGAGATTTGAATGCTTTTAAACTCACAAAGCCCTTTTTTCAATTTGTGAAGTAAGGAAAATAAATGGCAACGCTGAGGTAAAAGTTAGTATGGTTTGATATTAGTACAAGCATTTGATTATTAATCAAGTGCATATATTGATAATGTGACATATGCAAGTTAACAGTCTAGGAAAAAATGAACTGTGGAAATTAAGTCAAACCGAAGCAAATCTTGATGCAGATGACGGGGTTACCTCCTAAGTAAGAGGTAACTCCAGATTAAATAGTAGGAATTAATAATACTAGAAAATCTTAGGTAAGTAGATAAACCAAGGCCTCACCTGAGCTTGGGTGACCTTTTAGACTTCTGCTTTTAGTGAACACCAGTTTCAATAACCACCAGCACAAAAGAAAGGTTCAGTGCCTTTGGCTCCTTTTTGGCTTCCCAGCCTAAATGACCAGGTATTAATGTACTAATTTCATCTGAATGTGGCTTTTGGGATTAGTCTAGAACAGGATTTAAACTCTGTGGTTGAACGTGTTGTGAAATGCTTCATTTGCACTTTGTGCCCATTTATACTTAGGTTGCAGCAACTAACTGTATGGATTTAATTTAAACTTTTTTATTTTTCAATTTTATTTTTCAATTTTCCTTGAAGAAATTGCGCATGAAAAAATGAAGTAGGACAACCAGCTGTGGTTTAAAAGGCCCATCAGATTTACATCCCTGGGTACTGGATTTGATTGACAGAAAGATATAATATGTTCTTAACAGCTGGCTTGCATTCAGTCACTTTTTCTTCTGTGGTGTCACCCCGTAGCCCACTAGCCTTGCTGTTCACCTTGCACTCCAGGCTTGTGATAATAGTCAAGTTGCATCTGATTTTCAGTTTGAGTGCCTGAAAACTGGGAGACTCGATTGATAGGTGCATGGAAAAAAAAATTGTTGACCTGTTTGATTCTTTAACACACAGTTACATGCCCAGGAAAAAGGTGTCTTCACTTAGGGAACTTAGTCTTGAGTTTGTAATGTACACCTCAGCATGAAACAGTAGCCTGGAACTGAGGCAATTTTAGATGCACTGGCATCAAAACAAACATTTCAGCTGGTTTAGCAGAAGTAGAATGTGCTGTGCCAGCTACAGCAATATCCTAGATTGAAAGTGGCAGGGAAAAAAAAACAATAATGGCTTCTAGCAAGTTTAAGTCTCATTTCACCTATTTTTTCTGTGTGAAAAGAATCAGTCATTACTGATTATTTTGACTCTTCAGTGGTTTGCCTTTTCAGTAGCTGCTTGTATTCAGAAGACCTTTGTAAGAGAGTATAATTTATGAATATTTATCTTAGATAACACAGCTTTGTTTCATTGTTATTTTCTAATTGTATTATAAAGAAGTAGCAGCAGTATCTTAAGTGCCACACTGAATTGGTGATTTGTGAATGGTAGTTGCTATAAATCACACAGAAAGTTGTCTTGGAAATGCAGGCAGAAACTTAACTGCATGGAATTTCTGTGTGTACTGGTACATCTTAGATTAAATTAAATGAAAGACTTGCTTGAATCTAACTCGGATACTCTTCTCATTAATAAAAGAAGAATCTTGGGGCATTGGGGCAGTTACATTTCACTGCATGTGGTAAGATTAATGGTATACAAATGAACACTGCTTCCATACTTCTCTGTCTGTCTGGCTGCCTACTCCCCAAGCAACAAGTTAAAAAGCCAGGAATTATTAGATATTGTTGTATGGATTTAAAGAAGTTTTATTTCCAAATTATCCTGCCAAATCAAAAAATAATGGTGTTACATACTGCTCTCTGACCTAAACTTGTATTATGCTGCTCTCATGATGGATCATGCCTGATGGGTCAAGGACCATAAGTGTGCAAAGTGATCTGACACTGAATGGTCAGTCAGTCCAAACTGATAGACAGCTGTAATATTATTACCTTCCCTTATTTCATTCTGTTTATAAAAACTATGGATAAAGCTGTAGAGACTTTGAAAGTGGCAGCAAGCTTGTAGCTGTGCTGTCTTGAATTTTAGTTGTTTTGCAAATACAAATAAATCTTCATATGTTAAATTTTGTGTGTATCTTCAGACTGGTTGCAAGAAGTTTTAAGAAGGTGTTGGAAGTTCCATATTGTGTGTAGTGAAATTCTGACAAGTGTTACAGATGAGACACTGAAAAGCGGAAATAAGTGCTATGCAAGTGGTGAAAGAGAAATATTTGACATTGAAGAAGGGTGTGCTGGGAGATAGAACAAATGGGTTAAATATCTCTGTCTCAGATGTTTCCTGTTTATACTGCTGGAATATGCATGTTTGGAATGCAAACTCAAAGCCAACAACTCCTTTATATTAACATATATTTGCCATTTCCCTCTTTTATCAAGAGCTTATAAAAATAAAAGCATCTTAAGATGCATATTTTCAATGGAAATTATCTGATGCACATGGCTTTGGAAGGATTTTCTAAGCTTAAGTTGGCTATTTCATAGAGGAACACTGCATT